CAACAATGGACATTGTTTTCCAACAAAGAAGGTTGGCAAGAAAAGACTTCTCAAACCTGAAGAAGAATACACGGATGATAATTTCAAGAAGGTCGAACAAAATGCTAAAGCTCTACACCTTCTATATTGTTCCATTAACGTGGAAGTATTCCAAACATTCTCGGGTTATACATCGGCCAAGAAGTTATGGGACGACATTCAAGAGAAATACGAAGCTCTTGAAGAAGCAATTGAAGAACCCCACATTTGCTTCATAGCCAATGAAGAAGAAGAGGTAAGTACTTCAAACTCTACTTCTTTTGAAGAACTAGTGTTTTGACCCGTGCGACGCACGGGGTCGAACGAAATTTTTATCGATTCTGATTTTTTTTCAATGTAATATATATTTTCCAAAATTAAGTAAGTATATTTATAACATGATTTTTAATCAATAGACAACAACGAAAAAGTAGAATAAATAATGTTTGAGAAATTGAAAGTCTGTACTCGAACTTTGTTTTTAAATTCCAAATTTTTTGAAAGATTTTAGGGTATTAAACATTTTTGTTATGATTGTAAGAGTTTCTATTATCATCTAGAACCAATATTTTTAATCATTTCTTTGTCTTCACTCGTGAAAAAGTAACATAAAGCTAACCATAAGTAAATACTGAATTGGTTAAAAAGAATACACCAAAGACAATGTTTGACCTTGACTTTTGTTAATAGTCATAGTAAAAATAAGACTATTGAGAATTGCCTTCTCTAGAATTTCAGGGGTACTCTTGGATCAGATGATACCAAATTCATTCAGGGTATGTAAATCTTTTTCCCAACATTTCCCAAAACCTCAATCAAAGATAATTTTCTTTTTCAGCTTCTCAATGATTAATCTTCTACCATTACACAATCCAGATATTTGGTCAATGTTCTTCAATGACATAATCGGTACCTCATTTTTAAAAACTATTTTGTGGTTTAGGATCCCCAAACTTTTGATTTTATTTCATCTAAATCGGTTTTGCATGAACAATCAAAACTTAAGTAGTCCTTTTCACCTCCTAGAATAAGGGATAGAGCAAATTCATTTACCATTCAACAAACTCGAGCATGGGTACTAATAGTGCACTATCCTAAAAAAAGAATAATTTTTCATGTTCTCTAATAGGTTCAGATGAGTGAAGTCCAATATACTCTTCAGGGGATAACTTGTGTCAAGAATCAAGAATCCAGGTGAGATTTCAACCTCAGCAATTCCATCGATCACTTGTCTAAGTTTTCCATCTTCGACTTTGATTATCCAATCAGAAAATACTTGTGTGTCCTTATCTTTGCAAGACAGTGTAGGTTAATGCAATCTCATATTTTGGTCAACGTCTAAACTTTACAATACAACCACATTTGTGAGGAATTGGTGGTACAACTATTCTTTCAGAGTACAACTATTCTACAATTTCTTCTTTCAAAGCAATGAGTAAAACTGAAAGAATTTGGATAAAATCACCTTTGAGTACAACTATTTTTCCTATGAATGGTTTAATTATGAAGTTATTATTAGAGAACCTCATTATATCTCTCATTGTGTAATCCAATGTCTCAAAAGAAAATATATTCATCGTAGATGATAAATCCTGTATGATTACCAATGATATCTAAAGAAAAAATAAATTATGATATAGCTAGTCTTGTGTGTGTGTGTGTGTCTATATATAACATTGCACACAACTTACATGTTGCATGTATAATCTAAACATACTTTTAATTTTTGTTTCTCTAAATGCAGAATTATCTAAAAATGCGTCTACTGATGTATCATAAGCAGATAAACCTTGTACCTAGACACCTAAATTTAAAACATATGGAGTGTGTCCACCATATTAATTTACGTAGTATTTGCTTACATTTTTATAATATCTTATACATATTATTAGTTAATACACAATGATAATTGTTGTATTATCATTTTCAAAGAAATTAAAAGCATGTGTTATAGAAGATAGATCAATTCTCTTCTGTCTCTTACGCACTTGAAAGTGTGATGAAGTGTATATATATTTATTCCCTAATTAGAGCACAATATAGGTTATTTTTTTGGGAGCACTTGAAAAGTGTAAGAAGGTTCACATTTCACACGTGGACTTTAGAATCACATTTTACCAAAATGTTGATTTTACGTTTTCTATGTTTCAAATTAGGTGGTATATAATGTGTTAAGAAAATAAGAAATTTCATGATAGGCGAAGAAAATATTTATTTAGTAGGTGTCAATATTTAAATAAATATAATCAAACTAATTTCATTTAAAGGTATCATAAACAAATTCATAATACTTCGTATATTATTTATTTATGAAGAGAAATGTTTGTTTATTATTAAAAAAAATCAATTCTAGTCCAGTCATGTATTGATTTTTAAATTATTTAATCGAGTTATTGAAATGTATGGTTTGTTTTTAATTTTACATTGTTATTGAAATAAATAGAATCAAAACTAATTTCATTTTAAAATATTATAAACTAATTCTTGTATGAAAATTATTTAAATGTGAAAAAATAATCTTATTTATTAATCAATTTTTTAATATAAATGAAGCGAGAAAAAATATTTTAATGCATTGGGAAGAATTTTTTCATAAAAAAGAATGTTTCTCTTTAACAATTAAACTTATTCAAAGATTTTATACCAAAACATTGAATTCACATTTTCTATATCCTAAACTAAGTGATACCTTAAGTGTCATAAAAATATAAAATTTATTTATAGGTAAATGAAGTATTTTATTTAATAGGTGACAATATTTAAATAAATACAATCAAAGGAATATCATGTAAATGTATGATAAATAAATATAAAATTTATTTATGGGTGATGAGTGTATTTTATTAATTAGTATAAAAGGTTTTTGAAAATTTTATGATTTATCAAATTCGATGCCAGTATTAAAAATATTTTTATGTAAAGTCATAAAATAATGATATTTTATTAAAAATTATAATTTACACGGAAAATAATTTTGATTCTAAATTTGAATTCATGGGTTCAAAATAAGTAATTACTCCATATCATTTTTGAAAAAAGGAGTAAAAAATGTGAAATAATGAAAGAGAGTAAATTTTATTAAATTGCCACCTAATATGCCACATGTCAAGTTCCTAATGCGCCACATGTCAAGCTTAGAAAATGCCAAATGTCATGTTCTTAAAGCTTCGAGTCTCATTTATATATATAAAGGATTACAAGAAGCTTTTATAGAACTATTTGGTGAATTTAAGAAAACTTCAAAGATTGCCAAAAAGGCTAAGACTAAACTTCATGATTTGGAAGAAGAAAATAAAGTTTTGAAAAATGATAATCATGATTTTAAAAATAAAATTAAGGCAATGAATGAAGCTTACTATTCTATTGACCCAAGTTCTACATGTTCTTCTTGTGAGTCTTCAAAGTTAGAGAACATAGAACTTAGGAGGACTTTAGAAAAACTTAAGGTAGAAGAGCCTAAGAAAACCATTAAAAATGGGAAGATAAATAATCCACCTAGAAGAAATAATCCTAGGAATATTAAAAATTTTAGGAATAATTTTAGACAACCTAGAAATGATTCTAGGAATTTTATAAATGGTAAGATTGATTTTAGACAACCTAGAAATGAGTCTAGGAATATTAATTCTAGGAATAATGATTTTAGATCACCTAGATATTATTTGGCTCAACTTAGGCATATGCACAACCCGAACGTAATATGTCACTATTGCAATCGGGTAGGACACATTGCACCCGTATGTTTTACTAAACATAGGGATTTATGGTATGATTATGATTATTTTTTCCTAACCATCGAGGACCCAAAAGTGGTTGGGTACCTAATTTTTATTTTTAGATGCCCATGGAAGGTGTGCTTGAAGACTACAAATTTGTAGTGGATGCTCCAAGCACTTAGCCAAAGAGGTTGCATCAAAGGGGAGTCATTATGTTTTTTATGAATTTATATTAATTTATTTGGGGAATATACATAGGATGTTTTGCATATAGTAAGGGAGAATGTATAGATATATGTGTTAATCTTTTTGCATGCCCTATTTTTTAAAAGGGGTAGATAACATACTTTAAGGGGGAAGTATTTTATTTCCTAGAAATGCATGATTTTAGGGGGAATGTGATTTTTCTTAATTATTTAGATTTTATTTCTCTCCCCGGAATGCATGAGTTCTTTTGTTGCATTATTTTTTATAATGCCAAAAGGGGGAAGAGTATAGTAGTATATGCCTTATTTTGTTATTTTTTGATAGCATATCGTCCATGTGTTTGTCATTATCAAAAAGGGGGAAATTGTTGGAATGCATGAGTTCAATCCTTTCTGTGTTGTTATGTGTTGACGCATAGGTTTTGATAATTAACAAACACACTTTATTCAAGTCAAGATCAAAGTGCTACAACGAAACACACGAAGACCTGAAGTGCCATTCTTTGAAGTATTCAAGAAAGTGCACACGATGACAAAAATAATCTTCTCTCCAAAAATAATTTATTTCCGAAGATTTTTTATTTATTTGAGTCTTTGGAATTATTGTAAGGATGACAAAAATAATCTTCTCTCCAAAAATAATTTTATGAGAGTTAAAATACAAATTATATTTATTTTTAGAGTCAGTTGAAAAATCTTTTTAACTGTTCAAAATAGTTTTATTGAGCGAGTTACAAAATGTGTGCCAAACATTTACTCCCTCCATCCTATATTTAATTTCCCGGTTTGACCGGTACTCATTTTTAAGGAAGTGTAAAATTTACTCACACTTTCCATATATGCCCCTGCCTTTTGCACTTTCGTTCTACTCCGTTTAAAAATAAAGGGAAAAAAATAATTATCCTCCAGATCTACCGTGCTACCTCCATCTCCATCCTTCTCCTCCACCATTAACATCACCATCAACTGTAAGGTTTTCTTTTATTGTTTTTTTTCTGGTTGTGGTGATGGTTCCATAAAGGACTCGTCAACCTCTTTATTCTCTTCAATAACATCATTGTTAATGCCAGCTGCTTCATTATCGGTTCGAAGGGTTTCCACAGCTTCCACAAAATCTTCACATGCACCTCCATTAGCTCTATCTGCTCCAAATACCTTTTCTAGATTAGGGATGTTCAATCAGATCGATCCGATCCGATCCGAAAATTCGGATATCCGAAAATTTCGGATCATGTAAAACTCATTCCATATCCGATCCGAAAATATTCGGATATCCGATTTTTCGGATCGGATCACTAGATTATCCGAAAAGTTGAGTTTTTAGCCAAAATTTACAAAAAAAGGTAAAATATCAAAATCAACCCAAAATATCAAATTCAATATAGATTTACTAAAAGAACAATTTCATCACTAGGTAATGGCCTAATAAAAAAAATGATAACAAATTTAATTTGGGAGTAACTTTGGTAATTTTGTCTAAACAAACAAAAAAACACTATTAAAACAAAAGATTATAAAATGCTAATGTAAAAAGTCCAAAATGGCTTAGTTCCAAAATCAACATAAAATTACATTTAAACATATAGTCATAATATATATCCATAAAATTTCAAAAACATATAGCAAAAAAATATCGGATATCCGATTATCCGAAAAATTCCAGAAATTGAATCCATATCCGATCCGATTTTTCTCGGGTATCCGATCTGAAATATCCAAAAGCTAAAATATCGGATCAGATATCCATTTTTCGGATCGGATTGGCCCGGATCGTGGACGAATATTTCGGATCGGATATTTTTGAACACCCTTAGTCTAGATCATCAAGAAAGGGAAAAGGAACTCCCCACAATCCCTTGGCATTCTTATATTTATGTAACAATAAAATAAATAAATTTAAAAGATAGTAAAAAAACATTATCTCCCAATCAATGAGAAAAAATGATTTTTTTTGAATTCGATGTCAATTTAAAGAAACAATTCATATGAAAATGTGTGTTCTGTTGAACCAAATCACTAATTAGATTCAAGCATTAACTTCCTAGGAAAAGAATATCCACTTGCATTTTTTAAAAATGAATCCAGTAGAGGATTATGAAAACATCAGAACACATCACATAGCATTCTCTAGTAATAAGTAGCCCAACCAACATTTAAAGTTTTATGCATATCAGCTTAAAAAAAGAGCCTATGTAAACTAGAATTCATTATTGGGGAAAATAAAAAAAAACAATAAAGAGACACAAGAGACTAAAAGTAGAAGACAGAAACCTTAGATTTAATTCTATTGCTTTTATTATATGTCCCAATTACTATGGTAGAAGAAAAGATGGGTATTCTCTATAAGAATAAAATAGTTCATCATGACTCTCCCACATCCTACCCATATTAGAAAAAGATAGTAAAAAGATTAAAAGGGAAAGTGAAATTCTTACTTTGAGAAATTCATTGTAAGATTGTCTTTCAAACTTTATCATCTTGTTTTTGTCATCCCAAGAGAAGCCTGAAGTGCCAAGCATCACCATTATCACATTATGCTTTTCCCTAAATTGTTTCACTTTGGATTCAATTTGAGTTGATGTCAATCCACACCCAGGAAATATTTCGATCATTAATTTTTCTAGTTTTTACAGGTACCCATTCTTGAAGTTCCCATCAGCTTTCCACTTAGGATCTGTGCTTAACTCCATAAGAAGATGCACCAGACCCCACTCCTCATCTCTTGACCAAAACCGTTTGTTCTTACCTCTTCCATGCTTAATCTTGTTATCGAAGCTTTCAGAAGTTTCACTTGTTCGCATGGTGCTTTGGCTACTCGCCATCCTAAAAAAGCATGACAAGAAAATATTGTATAGACATTTTTAAAATGTAAACATGGTTTAATCAATCCCAAAAACACTTACTTTTTACAATGTAAAAAATAGCATTATAACATTCCAAATATAGAAAAATAGTCATTATCAAGCACATAAAAACAACAATATTTAAAACACTACTTATTCATGCATATGTCGTGTCCTAGCACGCCAATTATTAAAGCTACATTCTGCCACAGTACTGCGAAAAGTAGTCCAAGCATATGAGGTTTCAATGTGGGTAACATATTCAACGTCTTCATCACTATCGTCATAATCATTGCCTTCATCATCATTGTCATCATCCTCATTTTCACTATCTTGAAAGCATACCTTATTATCTGTTGGCATGTGAATCCGAAGAAAGTTATGTAATAGAACACATGTCAAAACAATACGACCTTGAGTGAGTATAGGGAAAAATGAAGGGCATCTAAGTATTCCCCATCTCCCTTTCAAAAGTCCAAAGCAGCGTTCGATTACATTTCTTGCTTTAGAATGCTTCATATTAAAATATTCCTCAGCTGAAACTGGTGTACGATTCCCCCACTCTTTCAGGTGATACCGATGGCCTCGAAATGGCGCTAAAAAGCCCTCACAATTGGTGTAGCCAGCATCTACCAAGTAATATGTGCCTTCAAGGGAGTGTAAATTTTAAAATTACTCACTAAGGTCGACAAATAATACTTGTAAATTATCATTGCTATTGAAAGGTAACCATGCAAGGATAGGCAGCGGAATACAAAAATTTTAACATCCTAACATGATTATCTTGCCCAGAATCACGTACTAAAACTTATAGTAGTAAGAAATTAATACCTTTCTCCGTAAGCGGTAAAAACGAAGAAGTCGTAGGAAGAGCGTTGAAAGTGCAAACGTAACCGTTCAAGCGTCCGGTCTCCAACTTTGACACACGAACAACGCCGGAGTCTACCACAATCTTTATGCTAGTAAAGATTATAGTAGTATAAAATATAAAGATTAAAATTGGGATAATAATAATCTTGTATATTTCTATAGAAAATATTTCTAATAATATTTAGAAAATATTATA